GTTTTCAGTGACTAATTTTTCAAAAGTAGATCACCAGGGCACAAACCTCCACCTTTTCATTTATCAGCCAATGTGTTAGGCAGGGTTCTCTAGAGAAACAAAACCAGGACACATGATTATATATTTATATAGTGAGAAGGAATATAACAGCTAATAAGCCCAACTCACTTCCATGAAACAGTTAATATACTAGAAGTCCTTCAACTCACGTGAGCTGCTGGGTCCAAGGTCAAGGAAGCAGAAAGCAGAGTCCTCTCGGGCAAGGCAAGCAGCGTCTGCCCACAGGCAGCAAGCAGCAGGGTGGGTCACCAACAGTCAGTAGCTCCAGAGCTTAGAGAAGCTGGCCTGGGTGTGATATTGAACACAAGCAATGCAAGGCGACGGGATCCACCAGCCTCAAGCTCAAGTAATATATGCACCAGCAGCGTGGCAAAGCTGGTCTTGAAGGGGCCTTATGCTCTAAGGACATGATCCACATGTTGGCCAGGCCCACAGGCAGTGTAGCTCACTGGTTGAAACAGAGAACTAGCTTCAGCAGCAGCATACACCCTCCAGCATGCTCTGATCACCAGCATGGAGCAAGAGAGAGGGGGCGGGCCTTGCAGAGTCCTCTAATCAAACTGCGACCTGACTCACCCTACATGTTCCTATTGGCCAGGTTGGCACAATAAACTATCACAGCCAAGCATTGTAAATGTTTGTGCCACCTAGGGAATCTCAAGTTGTAAAGTATGGAGAGTACAATACCAATTTAATAAAATTCACAAAAATGGCAAACAGTATTACACTGTATGTAGTCTATGGCTCAGTCTTCGGCTGGATGTTCCAGAACAGCAAAGCCAGTGAAGCTTATGTATGTGTGTCATGGAAAGGACTCGTGGTTGTGGAGGCTGATGATTCCCAAGTCCATGGGCCACACGTCACGTCGGAGGCTTCACCTGACTCATATTGTTGCAGATGCGGATGAACCCAACTCAGCAGGGAAGACAGGTAAACGAATGGCTCAAGCATCAAGAACCAGAGGTGTGAGAATGAAGAGCCTGATGCAGCGTCCAGAGTGAGAAAAATGTCAGCTTTGCTACAATGTCTGTATGCATTAGAGGCATATCACACACCCCAGGGAAACTCCTTTAAAACTGGTACGCTGATCACATGAGATTGCACCATGAAAGTGATTACATCATACCACAACATGGAGGATAACGACATTCTTCCACAACTGCCAAATTATATCGTTACATGACCTTTGAACCACTGAAGAATCATGATCCAGCCAACTATACCCATAACTATATCCATCCGAGGTCCACCCATATGTGTGGCATGGGAATAACCCATGCACCATTTTTGCAATTTGTTCCTCTGTTTGAGCCCATTGTTGCAGCCACGGTGTCAGTCCATCTCCTAGAGGGTCTTCCTCTTTTTTGTTGCCCCTTTACTTTACCAAGCATGATGTCCTTCTCCAGGGACTGGTCTCTCCTGACAACATGTCCAAAGTATGTCATCCTTGCCTCTAAGTATAGTGAGCTGGTTTACCATGAAGAACTCCATCTTGTTTCAAACTGCCTTCAACCCCTGCTAGCAGTTACCCCGCTTCTCCTCTTCCCTCTCTCGGCTCTTCCAACAAGACGGACTCTTCGACTCTTCGCGATGTCTCCAAACTCTGTCCAATTAGCAAGAAATGGACACTCTCTTGTAAGACCTTGAATTAGCACCTGCAGCTGTGCTGTTCCCCCAACGGCGTTACTCTGCCAGACTGATAAGAATGTAACGGCTGAATATCCCTCCCCTGGAACCAGCCTATTTTAAACTATAAAAAGTTTGGACTTTTTTTGTTCTGGGATGGAGAGGTTTCCAGGCCCTAGCCTATTCTCGGCCCAGCTGTTTAATAAAGGTTTTAATTATTAGTCTAGTGGTGTGGTTGATCTCTCATTTACAACATAAGGAACACTCTAGCAATTCTTTTTTCATCCATCCATCCATTGTGTCAAGCACACTGGTACATATGTTGCCATCATCCTTTTCAAAACATTTCTTTCTACTTGAGCCTTTGGTGTTAGCTCCTCATTTTTCCCCTCCCAACCTCTTGAACCCTTGATAAATTATACATTATTATTTTCATATTTTACACAGTCTGCTGTCTCCATTCACCCATGATTTTGTTGTTCATCACCCTGGTGGGGGAGTGGGTGGGTTATATGTTGATCATTGTGATTGGTTCCCCTTTTCTCCCTCCACCTTCCCCCTACCCTCATGGCTTCACTATGCACATTATTGTTTCTGAAGGGTTTATCTGTCTTGGATTCCGTGTTTCAAGAGCTCTTATCTGTACCAGTGTACATGCTCTGGACTATCAGGATTTGTAAGGTAGAACTGGGGTCATGATAATGGAGGGCAGGGAGGAAGCATTAAAGAACTAGAGGAATGTTGTATGTTTTGTTGATGCTATACTGAACCTTGGCTGGCTTGTCCCTTCCTTGTAACCCTCTGTGAGGGGATGTCCAATTGTCTACAGATGGGCTTTGGGTCTCCACCCCCGCCCCTCATTCGCATCAATATGATGGCTTGTTTTGGGTCTTCTAATACCTGATCCTATAGACACCTCATGATCACACAGCCTGGTATGCTTCTTCCATGTGGCCTTTGTTGCTTCCTAGCTAGATGACCGCTTGTTTAACTTCAAGTCTTTAAAGACTCCAGACACTATATCTTTTGATAGCTGGGCACCCTCATCTTTCTTCACCACGTTTGCTTATGCACCCATTTTGTCTTCAGCAATCATGTCGGGAAGGTGAGCATCACAGAATGTCAGATTACTAGGACAAATTGTTCTTGTGTTGAGGGAATACTTGAGTAGAGGCCTCATATCTGTCTGCTGCCTTAATCCTTAACATATAAATATATGCCCATAGATCTATTTCCCTATCGTTATATATAAATATATTTACATTTTGATCAAGCCCCACCACACATTCTATGCCCTCCTCACCATCAATGTTAGATTACTTGTTGTTCCCTGGCCATTCCAAGACAGATTTGTTGGTCCTTTTGGCAGTTGGTGGTACTTTCAACATTCTTCCCCAGCACCACCATTCAAAGGCATCGATTCTTCTTCAGTCTTCCTGATTCAGCGTCCAACTTTCACCTGCATTTGAGGCGATTGAAAATACTCTGGCTAGGGAGGGCTGGGGAGGGGGAAAAAAAGAAAAAAAAGAAAGAAAGAAAATACTCTGGCTTGGGTCTGGTTAGTTCTCAAAGTAAAATCCTTGCTTTTCAACACTCTAAAGAGTTCTTGTGCTGCAGATTTACCCAATGCAACCCGTCTTTTGATCTCTTGATCATACACAGTCTCTTATCTTTCAGTCGCTAGGGCACACACTGAAACACGGATCTAAGATACATTTCCTTCCTGTTTAAAATATACAGCTTAGAATGGAAATGAACACATCTAGATTCTTGTGGGTGGACAAGACTTCCTGGGCCCAGGATCATAATGCCAAGTTCAAATGTTCGGATAGAAACAAAGAAAGAAGACAAGGGAGCCTGCCATCAAAATCGCAAGTCCCAGGGGCGGGGACTGTAAAGCAATACCCACTCAGCAAAATCCACTTTGCCTGCCCCTAGGGTCAAGGGGCGTGGTATTAAACAAACCAATTAGGGTCATTCAACTGTTCTGTTAATTTGAGGCACAGTAGTGGAGTGATTTATGTGCTACTGTGATGCGGGAAGCTATGCCACCATTATTTCAAATACTAACAGGACCACCCATGGTGAATAGGGCTGTGTCTTCTCGGTACACTTAGTCTGTGTGATGAGCAAATAATCTGAGACGTTAGCCTGTCTGAAGAAGAATGTACCCGGCACAGGCGTGGAGAAAGGCTCACGAACAACCTGGGATATCCAGATGGCACCACCTTGCTTGCCGAAAGGCAGAAAACCTTGAGCCCGTGCTGATGAAGGTCCAAGACTGTAGCCATCCGTATGGATTGCAACTCAGTGTAAAGAAAACCAACGTCCACATAAGTAGACCAATAGATAGACACAGAAAAGATCTAAGTTATCAAGGATTTCATTTTTCTGAAACCCACGACCAACACTCGCAGCAGCCAGCAAGTCAGAGGATGGACTGCGTTGGGCAAACCTGACACACACAAAGCTTGGTACGGTGTTGGAGAGCAAGGGTGTCAGTGTAGGTGAGGAATCGATGCATTTGAACGGTGGCGCTGGCGAAGCAAATTTAAAGGACCATGGACAGGCAAAAGGACAAACAAGTCTGTCTTGGGAGAAGTATTGCTAGAACGAGGCAAGGATGGCGAGACTCAGGTCACGGACTTTGGACGTGTTGTCTGGAGAGAGCAGTCCCTGGAGAAGGACGCCCTGCTCGGTCAAGTCGAGGGGCTGAGAAAGAGGTCGGCCCTCAAGGAGATGGACGGACAGGTGGGGCGGGCGGCTGCAACAATAGGCTCAGGTATAGGAATCATTGCGAGGGCGGGGCCGGGCCGGGTGGTGGGAGTTGGAACTGACTGGCAGCGCTGGGTAACAACGAGGAGTTTAGGGGCGGAGACTCTAGATGAAGCCTTTAGGTCTCAACCCCCGTTTCCCAGGCGACGAGGTGGAGAACGGTCGCGGCAGGGGCGGAGAAAGGGGCCCGCAGAGGTGATCCAATCAGGGGGCCGCAGAGGTGGTCCAATCAGGGGGCCGTAGGAGCGGTCCAATCAGGGGGCCGCAGAGGCGGTCCAATCAGGGGGCCGTAGGAGAGGTCCAATCAGGGGGCCGCAGAGGCGGTCCAATCAGGGGGCCGCAGGAGCGGTCCAATCAGGGGACCGCAGAGGCGGTCCAATCAGGGGCTCCGAAGGCGGTGCGGTCCTAACCGTCCAATCGCAGGCGCCGGGGCGGGGCGACGCACTGCAATCGATCGCACGCGGATGACGTCCTCGGGCGGGTCGCTGCGCACACGCGTCTGCGGTGCCCCCCCCGCCCCCCCCCGTCCGTGTTCCCTCTGCTCGTTCTCTGCGGAGCTGGCAGGACGCTCCGCGCCCCCAGAAGCGGTGCCAGAGATGGTGAGCGCTGGGCAGGGGCGACGGGCGGGAACTGCTGGGAACCGGCCCTGTGTGCAGCCCCGCTCCCGGTCCCCGGACCCGAGTCTGCGCGTCTGCGCTCGGTGGCGACCGGACCCTCGGCTCCTGCTCGCAGGGCCGGATCCATCCCAGCTCAGGGACCCCACGCGGGATGAGGGTCCAGGGTGGGAGGTGCTCGCAGGATCCGCGTTTACAGGTGTGGTGGCCCCATCCGGATGGCTGTGGGGGTCCTCAGGCGATCCGGTTTCCCCAAAGACTTCGAGATGTCTGGGATCAGCCCCCCAAACGCACGACGCAGTACCCCATTCTGTCTGTTTTTAGGGCTGGCATGAAATCTCCCCAATTTCAGCCCCCTCCTCACGTTCCCCAAGCCTGCCTCCCCTCCTCCATGTCACAGTGCCCTGTCCTCAACAACGATTTGTGAAGAAGCCGTAGGGCTTTATTTATCTCAGTCTCCACACAAAGCAATGGGTAGTTACTTTTACATGATTGATTTTCCGTCCTTGTGCGACAGTCTGACCCATTGCTTTTCCTAGTGGAAGAGTCCAGCCAATGCCATCGGCTCCAGATAAAACCTTCAGGGGAAAGGCACCCCTTGCCTCTCTGGCAATTTGACTCCTTCATGCCCAGCTTACATTCTGTCTGGAGACACAGTTTCTACCCGGCTGACAGGATGCTGGACCGCAGCCACCCTTCCTCTCGATCTTTCAGGGAGGAGACAGCCATGTCTTTCTGCCGGGGAGCCTTATGTTTCTCCCTTAGAGTAGCTGGTGAGTTCCAAACGCCGAGTGGGGTGAGCAGCCTAATGAATAACCTACTATGCCACCAGAGCCCCCCCAAACGGACCAAAGACCCCTCCCAAATCACCCCACGGAGGTGATGATGGTACAGCACTCTGAAAAGCAGCGTGCATAGTAAGCCACAGGGTGGACACAGTGGAACATTGGTGTCCAGGGTAGTTCTGACCAGAGCAGCCCAGAGTGCAGGCTGAGAGGGAGAGTGTCTGGTGTGGGGACCTGCCTGTGTCCCAGTTCAGTTCTGTCAGTCTGTGGGGGTGCCGTCTAAAACCATTGGTTCATCCATTCTCAAAAACTCACTGCCATCCAGTCGACCCTGATGCATAACCACCCTCTAGGATAAACTACAACTCCCCTGTCCCCGTGGTTTTGGAGGCTCTACATCTTTACTGGTTCCCGAGCCTCGTCTTTCTCCCACACAGCAGCTGGTGGGTTCAAACTGCTGGTCTTGTGGGTCGCAGCCCAATGTGTGATCCACTATGCCACCGGGCTCCTTTATTTGTCCATTAGAACTTCGGTTTTTCACTAAACATTCCTAATTTAAAAAAATAATAATGTACATTAAAAGAACCTGAAGGAGAAACTATTGCTAAAGAATCCCACAAGACGAATTTCAAGAAAAAGAAGTTGCAATGTTCTGATCTTTCTACTTGTTTAAAATCCTTGTTTACCTTTATTCTTCCCCAAAGTATGTCCAGTCAGTTTCTCAAGTTTGTCTTTTCTGTGCTATCAAACGGGCTTCCCAGGACTTCACTTTGAGAGAATGCAACTGGAAAAAGAATATGAGAAATGGAGGGAAATCTCTCTTCCAACGGGTCTGCAGAAACAGGAATCCCTTCCTACAAAGAATAAGGAACCCTGGTGGCGTAGTTACACATTGGGCTGCGAACTATAAGGTCAGCAGTTCAAAACCACCAGTCATTCCATGGGAAACAGACAAGGCTTTATCCTCCTGTACAAAAGTTACCGTCTCGGGGACCCATTCATTAGGCAGTTCTGCCCTGACCTACAGTTGCTGTGAGTCAGAGTCGACTTGATGGCAGGGAGGTTGGCTTTTTGGGTTCTGCAAAGAAGGTTCGGTGGAGAGACTGCTGACTTACAGAGATTCACGGAAGTCGGGTGTGGGTGTGGCAGGCGTGGCTAATTTGTTGCATTGCCTTTGATCTGGCCTTCAGATTCACGTGAAAGCCACTGAGAGGAGATTTGTGTCAACCTGGAAGGGTTGAAGTGGGATTGTTACAAAATATTTCCTATCATGGCAATCACGCCTGTCTTTTCTGGAAGAAAATTTGCACTTTTCCTTCATGAATGCTAAGAGGTGCCATGGTTTTATTGTTAATATTTATTGTCAGGACTGCGCAGCGTTTCGCTCTGTTGTGCTTAGGGTCGCCGTGGGTCGGCGCCGGCTCGATGGCACCTGACAGCAGCAGCATTTATATACAGAAACCCTGGGTGATTTTGCTGGACTCGGCACACAGCATGTTTTACAATATCTCATTTGAAATGTTAGTGGTGGTCCACATCAAATGAATAACCTTGACGACACGTCCACAGGACACCGTAGAACAGCCCCCCTGGAGTTCCTGGGGCTGGAGATCTTTCCGGAGCAGCCAGCCTCATCTTTCTCCTGGGCCCGGATGGCCTTGAACTGCTGACCTTACAGTTAACACTTTTAATGCCGCCAGGGACAGTCCAGTGCCAGTTCAGAAGCTGCTGAGGAAGCGGCATGAGGTTGGTGTTTCCAAGGGAGCTTGCTGCCACCTGTGGGTGGCCATGCAGCACAACCACAGTAGGAGCCTTTTGTGCAGAGTGAGGTTCCAGGAGAACCAAGGGAGGCTGGGTGGTCTCAGGCGGATGCCCTTGGGGACAATGTCCTTTCCCAAGCTGTCTGTCACTCACTGTCTTAGGACTGTTTCCAGACCAAAACCCCAAACTGGACTCACTGCCTTGGCGTCGATGCGGACTTGGGGTCTGAATTGGCACATACCCTTTAGCCTTTATCAGCTTGCACCTCCTGTAGGGGGCCTGTACGCATGGAGAGGAATCACCCTATCTTGCTACCTAACTTTAGGAGGGCATCTACGAAGGGCTTATGTCAGAGCCTGCTGACAAGTCGAACGGTCCTGAAAGGGGGAGTGAGGATTAAGGAAAAAAAGAGAGACAGAAAGTATTGGGAGGGCAACAGTGAATACTGAAGCCCCGAGTTAATTCTACATCTTCCTTTTATACATGCAGAAACAACCCGGGGTTACAATTAGTATATTGTGACAATATATCAGAAACTATATTCTGCCAAGTCAAGGAGTCTGTGATAAAAATTAAACATTCTGATTTCCCAGAACTTGCATACGTCCTTGTTCTTTTTCTTAGTCTCAATGTCAAACCGCAGAAGCAAACAGCAGATACTGACACCTGGGTCAGGACATCTCAGCCGTTTCAAGGCTGAGTCTTAATGGCTGTTAACAGGCTTGGGTTAATTATTTTTCTCCATTAACCTATCGGACATCTAGGTTGCTTCCTTTGTTTGGGACAATTTGAAGAGACAATAGTGCTTACAAACATTTGTCTGGGCAGGAATTCTCTTTGTTGACATTAAAAAGCTAAGGTGATAAGTTAGGGCAACATGTTCTCATCATTCGGTGCCCGTGCACAGCAGAATGAAACATTGTCTGGTCCTGCACCATCCTCACCATGGTTGCGATATCTGAGCCCATGACTGCATGCCCTGTGTCATTCTGGTTCCTCTTCTCGCTGACTCGCTCCGTCCCAAGGTTCCCCCTGATAACCTGTCTCGGCCGCATGAGGGGCAGTCTTGCCATCCTTACTTCTAAAGAGCATTCTCATTGTTCGTTTTCTTCTGGGATTTCATAGTACATTCATTCTTTGCCAACGCTAATTCCAAGGTTACAATTCTCTGGCCTTTTTAATTCATTGCCCAGCTGTCACGTGCATATGAGAGAGATGATTGGAAATACTGTGGCATGCGTAGATCCGGCGCAGCTTAGTCCTTGACGCGACATTGATGCTCTTCAACACTTTCAAGAGGGCTGGGGTAGCAGATTTACCCAATGCAGTACGTCATTTGAGTTACTGACTGCTGTTTTCATGGGTATTAATTCTGGGTCCCAGTCAAATGGAATCCTCGGGAGTTTCACTTCTTTTCCGCCATGGATCGCGATGCTGTCGAATGGTCCACTTGTGAGGATTCTTTATTTCTTTCGGTGGCAATGTCATCCACAGTGAAGACCGTAGCCTTTGTTCTTCACCAGGAACACCTCCAGTGCTCGCTACTTTCACTAAGCACGGTTGTGTCATCCGCACATTGCAGATCGCGAACGAGCCTTCCTCCAGTCTCGACGCTGCCTTCTTCTTCCTGTGGCCTAGCAGCTGATATTATGTGCTTCTCAACAGATTGAATAAGTACAGCAAAGGGATACAGCCCCGATGCGTACTTTTTGTTAATGTGTAAGAGAGTTTTATAGAGCAATTGCATATTGAGAAAACATCCTAGCCCAGTCCAGATCACGTCCATCAGTCCGATATAGGTTCATACGTCTGATACCAGCTCACACAGCACATGCAATGATGCTGAATGCAGGAAGATCACAGGCCGGTGGGTGGACAGTCCTGTGGGTCACCTATTCTGATCTTCAACCACACCGAATCCCTCTGTTCTTTTTAAGAAGGACTGCCTCTTGGCCTATGCAAAGGTTCCATATGAGCACAATGAAGTGTTCTGGAGTTTCCACTCTTGGTAATGTGATATATAATTTGTTGTGACATACACTATCAAATGCCTTTGCATAGTTAACAATAAACAACAGGTAACTGTCATTCTGGTATTCTCTGCTTGCAGCCAGCAGCCATCTGACATAAGCAACAATAATATTTGTTTCACGTCTTCTTCAGAAGCCACTTGAATTTCTGGTGTACTGTGTAACTCTTTAATTTTTTTATGTGTAACCCTTTTAAAAATTATCTTCAGCAAAAATCTCCTTGCCTGTGATAATTGCTTTATAATTTTCACATTTTGTTGGGTCACATTTTGGGGGGAGTGCTCACATATAGGGATTTCTTTCAGCTGGCTGGCCAGGTGGCGGTCTTCCAGATTTCTTGAACACCTGCAGAACTGCACCCCTTGGCTGAAACATTTCCGTGAACACTACATTCGCTTCTGGAGTCTTG